TACATCCCATGTAACAAGATTTACTGGAAGTTGTGTAGATTATTGGAACCTAAAACTCTTTCTAACACAAAGGTCTACTTCCAAAGGAAAAGTCTGTGCTTCCTCTGTCTAGAATATTTTGTGGTTAGTTATTTTAAGCTGTGGAATGTATCTTTTAATGAAACAAGAATGTACCTGGGGCTTTTTAGAAAGCCTGTCTTTATTTAGATGAAAGCACTTTGAAATTTAATACAGTTTATATATCAACCCCTCCCCATTTGGGCTAGGAAAAAGTCTGAATCTTCTACAGGCCATCCAATGGCATTGAGGAGGCGAGATGCCATTCCAGAGCCACACACACCTTGGCACCACTTCCTTCCATGTCTGCACTCCTGTGCAGGGAGGGTCAGGGAAAGGAGAAACATCTTCCCTCAAAGTATTGCTTTGTTCTCAGCTTCTTGCAAAGGTCATCAGAGATAGGAATAAGGAAGACATTGGCATCTGATATTTTACCCTTCCCAATTCATTTACCTCTGGTGCTTTATGCTCTCAACAGTTACCTAAGTTATCTTTCTTTTTTTGTGGCAACAGCCCTTTCTTATTTAATATTCATTTTCTTGCATTTCTCTTTGGCTCATAGTAAAATATCAACCTCACCTTTCCCAACCCAACCCTTAATACATTAATTTAGAAATACATATATTTAGTACATGACACTGAAGAAAGAAATTGAACAGGATACAAATAAGTGGGCACATATACTATGTTCATGGATAGGAAGAATTAACATCATCAAAATGTCCATACTACCCAAAGCAGTCTACACATTCAATGCAATTCCTATCAAGATACCAATGGAGTGTTTTACAGAAGTAGGTCAAATGTTTCAAAAATTTGTATGGAAGCAAAAAGACCCCAAACAGCAACAGCAATCTTAAGAAAGAACAAAGTTGGAGGAATCACCCTACCTGATATCAGGCTATCCTACAAGGCCATAGTAATCAAAACAGCATGGTACTGACATAAAAACAGCTATTGGAATCACTATCATCAATAAATCGACAAATAGCAAGTGTTGGCAAGGATGTGGAGAAAAAGGACTTCTCAGGCACTGTTGTTGGTGGGAAGGCAGACTGGTGCAGCCACTCTGGAAAGCAGTATGGAGTTACCTCAAAAAATTAAAAATGGAACCGCCTTATGATCCAGTGATCCACTTCTGGGAATTTATCCAAAGAAACCTGGAACACCAATTCAAAAGAATATATGCACCCCTATGTTCATTGCAGCATTATTTACAATAGCCAAGATTTGGAAGTGGCCCAAATGTCTATCAGTAGATGAGTGGATAAAAAAGCTGTGGTACATTTACACTCTGCTGTAAAAACGAAGAAAATGTCACCCTTTGCAACAGCATGGATGGACCTGGAGAACATTATGCTAAGTGAAACAAGCCAGTCAGAGAAAAACAAGTTACCATATGATTTCACTCATATGTGGAATTTAATGAACAAACTGAACTACCAAGCAAAATAGAGACAGACTCAGAGAGAGAGCAGACAGGGAGCTCTAGTGAGGTGTGGTTCTGGGTGGGTGTAGAGGGGCTGAGCAAAAAGGAAAGAGAACTCATCGACATGGACAAAGGTGTGGTGGCTGCAGCAGGGGGTGGAGGTGGAAGAAAGCATAGAAGGGATAAATGGTGATGGGGAAAAAATAAAAATACATATATTTAGGGGAAAAACACACAATTTCTTCCCTCAATAAGTCAAGCTTTCTACACTGGCATCTCCCTAAGCACTCAAAAACTTTTAATTTAAAACACAGAACAAAAGAAATTCAGATTGAAAAGATATTAGCTTCATATCTCAAAAATATTATCCCTGTTATACTAATATCAAAGAAAATACACCATAAAATGATAAAAATCTAGGCAGTTATATAAAGTACTATATGCATGCAAAAACTTGGAGAAGATTGCTATAAAATGTGGACAGTAGGATAAATGACCAAGGAGGACTACCATAAAATAAATAAATTGAAGAGATAAAAATCTGAAAAAACAAACAAGAATTAGGAGCAACTTGCAGAAGTCATAAAAGGAAATAGAAAACTATTATTTTAAAGTAGCAGGGTAGCATGTGGTATTGCAATTTTATAAGTCAGGAAGTATGTAAATTTTGATAGCAATTTTTGCAATGCCAGCTCTCCATATAATTCTTTTAACAGCTCCACAAGTTGTATAAGCTAGAATATAATAAAAATATAAATTAATAACAAGTATAGACACTTGCATTCAGATCTATTATACTGTGTCTATCTGTTCAATAATTTTTTGGTTTATATTATATTAAAGGTCCTATTATCTCTGGCATACAGTGTGTGTATATTTCACTATGAGCCCAGTTGCACACATGAAGAATGAAAGCACAATTTGGGCAATAACGTTTTTATAATTGCAATGTAGCACTTTAGATATTATTCAGTTATTTCAAAACAATGACTTACTCTTTCTTCTATAAACTAAACTGAATGAGAAGAATCTTCAGTGGCCCAAATAGCCTACTTTATTAAATTAAACTTTATGTCGCCACTGAATTATTTTTATCATTCACAGCTAGAGACATCCTAATATATTAAATCATTACAATCAGTGTGATGTCTTATACTTTTACAACATATAAGACATCTTATATATATAAAATAGCTTTGTTTTATAAATTTAACCTGCAATTAAGGAAGTCAATCCGCTGCCTCTTTTGAAATGTCTACACTGTTTTTAAAACTCAACGTAAATTGTTAATGCTTTTGTATGGTTTGAATTTAATTTTATATGGCAATATTTATTGCCTATTCAGAGTTCATTGTGTCTCTAATCTTTGATACTGTGATGTGATACGGCGAACTCCAGATACATTGAATTGGAACAGAAACAAATCTTTTCAGTAGTTTAGCAAATTGCCTGAATTGTCCTGGGTCAGTTCTATGAATTCGTGCAGGATTGAAAGATGCTATGTCAGGCAATGCATTTTTTTCACCCATACAACTGATATTTAAGAGACTCACAATTTTTTAAATTTTAATATGTCAGTAATTTATACTCAGTTTGAATGTTTTCTGACATTAGTATCAAAAAAAATGAAACAGAGAAGCTAAGCTGATTTCCACCAATGAAGACTTTTTCAGTGACTCCAACAGGACAGTTGGAGTCATTTGCCTTAATAGTTAAGTATTGCTAAGTGGTAAATTTGATATATCTGTGACAGGAGGTAGAAGAATTTAAATGATTAACAAAGTTATAAGCCCCATCTGCTAAATACCAAGAAAGAAAGAAATGATAAAAGAGTAGCAATGTTAATAACTTGTAAGAACTTGAAGAAAGCAAATTCTAATCATCCTATAAATAAGCATTTAAAAGGAAGATTGGCTAAGCAACAGATTTAGTGTTGAATTACATTTGCTGAAGATGATTTCCTTAATAAATGATCATCACTGAAGAACATTTAAAGGAACCTAATGGGGCCAAGGGGATTAAGAACTAACGAATGGAAACAAGAGTCTCTTTGATTTAGTACATTTTGGTTGTTTGAATCCGAGGAAGGACATGATCTCAAAGAAGAGGAGATGCAGACTTGAAGAGAGGTTAGGTTGCGATGATAGCACAAACATCCCGGCTTTCGCTGAGGCGATATCACCTGTGAAAGGAACAGGAGCGAAAAGCAAAACTCTCACACTAATATCCCTTAATCTGAGGGCATGGAGAGTCATAATAAGCAGCATAGACGGATGGACAAGCAGGTGGTAGTTTGAGACATGGAGTGCTTACTGTTCGAACAGTACACCGAGTTTTTGTGTTGAAATGATACTGTATTTTATGTGCTTCACATAAACATTGATTTCCAATTTTGCCTCCTAAATTACTGATGGTGCTGTAAGAACAGTAAAATTATGAAAGTCTTTTTTTAAATGATACTATGGGCTAAAAGAGTGAATTTGAAAGGCCGACTGTCTTTAAGTGTGGTTAGCATTTGTGTGTAATCTCCTGAAAGAGAAACTGAAATTTCACTTGAAATCGTGGCCCCTCCTCTAAAGGAACATTGTGTCTTTTGAAAGACCTAACGCATCTATTGGATGTGGTTGGTCATCACTTGAGAATTAAGAAATCTGAGATAACTGTCAGGTTATTCTACTTCCCTGGTATTTCAGTTCCCACTAGTAAACCGGGGATAATATTTTCATCCCTTGGAAAGGCAGAGTTTCAGAATAGGGGTTATTTTCACCTAAAGGCAACGGAGACCCTGTGCACTCAGGAGAAACTTCTGTTTCCCCCACCCAAACTCCCAACTACCTAGAATAATTTGAATTAGGGGCCTTTCCCCTAGTAAGAGATGATCAGATATAACCTATTTTTTGATCTTTCTAAACGGCAGGGCCAACTACTACTTACAGCACATCTGTTCCTCTCAGTGTCCTGTAATGACCTCTGACGCTCCCCTGTAGCTCAGAATGTCAGATATGCCTCCCTTTCCCTGTTTCTCAGCCTCTCGTGTATATGGGGACCCCATGCATACGAATGTCATGAACTTTGGTCATTTTTCTCCTGTTATGCGACCTCATATAGATTTCATTATTAGGCCAGCTGAAATAATTTAGAAGGTAGAGGAAATTTTCTTTCTTCCCCGTAGAAACATTGTAAAGGTATGTTTTTTTCCCCCAACACAACTTAATACCAGATGTTCTGAGAAAGTTATTTTCTTTTTAATTTAAAAAATAGTCAAGCAATTACTACTTGGTTAATCCATTTTCTTTATACTTCAAATGCATTTATTTAATCTCCTGGGAATATTGTAGACTCTTCATTTCCATTACAAGTCTCAAATGCGTTCCTTTCCGTTGTGTTTTTCTCGTTTGCCCAGCCAGCCGAATGTCCCCTCTTTATCATTCCAAACCTAACACTGAAGTATGTTCTCATGAAGAGTGCGCTTCATACAAAGCTTTTGAACGTTTCTATAGGAATAGGACTCTGATTTATGGACAGTTCTTTAGCTTTACTTTAATTTCTTTTATTTTCATTGACAGTCATATTTTCTGGAGAGTACAATCAAGATAGTGTATTCATAGAAATAACACTAATAGAAGCCTGGTCATACATGAGAACAGTCATAATCACGATCTCCGTTACCAAAGCATTCCGCACAGAGAGATAACAGCACAATAAATAATTTGCCACTTGTCACACAACAAATAAAACAGAACTGCAATAGCAAAAATGTAATTTTATAAATGTTGTTATACTAAATACAAAAGCAAAAATATGAAATCATGCACAGGAGACGAAAGCTAAAAGCGAATACTTATAGCAAAAAAAAAAAAAACAACCAACAAAACAAAACATTGCAAAGATAAAAATGTTCAAGTATTGTGAGAGGAGAGGGGAAGATTCAAATAGAGCCGTTTCAGCAAAAATCGATTATATTTACTACCCCAGGAGGGATACTGACATAATTGTCTTTGCCATTAATACTTCATGCTGTTAGAATGCATACTGTTATCCATTTAACGGATAGATCCCATTTCCTTGGAGCACACCTCCTGTTACAAGGATGGAATGAAATCCATTGTTTACTTTGATTATAAATAGACAATGATACTTTAGGAAAAATATTCTCAAGAAGAGGCCAGTGTGATCTCCTGGAATAGCAGGGGCCTGGGAGTTAGGAAAAATTGACTCTGGTCCTATTTTCATCAGTGAAAGAGAGTGGCCGGTTCTGAAATAACATTTCACCTCCTGTTTCAATTTCGCTGTAAGGGTTGAACTATCAGAACTAGCAGAGAGCAGTAAAAATAACAACCACAATAATAAAATAGTTTAACATTTTTATTGACGCTTAATAAAAAAAAAAGTAAGGGAAAAAAGCTGGATCGCTTAAAAGAAGTAAGAATTCTATAATGCTTGCGCGGGGTGGTTCCTACAGCATAACAATTTCTTCCCCAGCGTCACTGACCTAAGCGGTGCCCTTGGACTTCGCGGCTGACTCGTGCGTCAGAAGTGAGCAGTGGCTGCTACATTCTACGTGAGTAGGAAAGACATGTTTGTCATGGGAGTAAAAAAATAAAATTTGTCTGTTAAATTACACATAAATATAAGGTACAAATGTATTTTTAAAATACAGATTGAAATAATCACACTTGCATTGTGTACATACGAAAATACAGTATTTCATATTCAATATACACAGACACATTTATGATAAATGCAACTATTTGGCAGTGCCGGTTCTCTCCGGGCTCCCTCTGTCCCCTACCTCCGTCGACAGACAGACAGACGGAAATGCATCCATGTGCGGAAAGCGAAGCGCCGGCCGGCCTCCTAGCTCTGGCGCACGTCCTGCAGCAGCTTGTTGATCTCGGCCACCAGCTCGCTGGCGTCCATGAGCTCGTGCTTGCCGTCGCTGAGGTGGTTGAGCACGTTGTCGAAATCGTCTTCCTCGTAGTTCTCGGGGATCTCCTCCATGGCCGGCAGCCACTTGGC